CATCTGAGATCTTGCTCCTGCGTCTCCCTTCATCTTCTTGGATTGCCTATGCGTGACTTGGACTGGATTGCCTGTAGCAGCTTTCCGTAAAAGAATCTGTCCCTTTGGACACTTACATAGGAGAGAATTAAACATTCTGTGCACAGTAGCCATTGCACAGAGTACACCATTCCAATAAAAACTGGCAAGTCTAACCCAGGAGGAAAATAAATATACACACGCCTTTCCCAACAACATTCTTGGCCTGAGATTCCTCCCCTATCCTGACTCTGAGATTTGGGACCCATAATTGACACTCCCTTGTAGCTTATGATGGGCAACGCCATATGTTACCCATTGGTGGAAATCTGGGACATGACCAGCAAGCCGACAGCCCCCGAATCCTTTGTGCTCTCCAGCTTCTCCAAGATCCAACCTTACCATTCCCAACCTGCCTCGAACGTGACCCATCTTCCTTCATTCTCAGAAGCTAATATCCATGCTGAAGAGGAAGGCTCTGTGACAGTGTCATCTCCGGATGTCAGCTCCAGTTCAGTAGTGGCTACGACAAGCCACTTGTCCAGTTAGAATCCAGGGTCTGATATGTATCAGCATTTCCTGTGAGTAGCATTGGATTAATCGTGATCACAAATGTGCTGCTGTGCTGGAGATCTTTATAACATTGGCTGAGATTCTGCATGGGGCATGTACCTATGAAGTTATCGCCTGATCCAAACTCCCTAAAATCCACCCTAAAAGCCAGGCAGGTTTGCTAAATGAAGTACTGCTGTGCCGACAAGAAAGATGCAGAAAGATGATATTTGCAGCCTCCTCCTGCCAGTAGGCATGGTGCAATTCCTCCAGCATCCCTCTTGCCAGCTCTGCAGAAGTTCCTTGCTTGGTATGGCTGCCTGGATTCTAAGGTGGGTTTTAGAGGCATTTGCAGTGATGACAATGGTGCCACGATAGCAAGAGTGACTGTGTAACTGTACAACATTGTAATTGTCTAACAGCCTCTCTTTATAATTGTCCAGAGTGCATCCAGAGGAGATGATCAGGATGATCAAAGGTCTGGAAACCAAGCTTTATAGGAGATGACTTAGTGAGTTGGATATGTTTAGCTGGGAGAACAGGAGATAGAGAGATGACAAGATAGCCATCTTAAATATGTTGAGAGATCTTGTAGCACCTTTGAGACT